ATAACAAAAGTGGCGCATTGTTCTATTGTTTTGTTTCAAAGTATGAATTGCCAATCGTAAGTTGTCAAGTTGATGATATCCCATACATTAATGTCTGCCTTTTCACCAAAAATAAGACATTAAGAAAGACCGAAATACCGAGAATGTTATTAACTTTAAACCAAAATATGTCCCGAAACCTGCCAGTGTAGTGATGGTGGCAGCCCTGCGCGACGACAACATTTGTTTACTTCCTCTTCATTCATGACTCTTACACTCGTGTCTTCTCCTCGCTCAAAATAACACTTTCTCATGACGGTAAGCGAGGGTTTTGCACCGCTGTGAGATAAGCAGTAATTTCGAGTCCGAGATTTGTGACCATAGGGATATGACAGGTTGGTAGAAGATACCAACTCTGTATTGAAGGTCATTACAGTTCGTCCATCCATGATGTACCAAATATATTTTCATGTTTACTATCATTTTTTAAATTTAGGATGCAAAAAGTTCTAGACGACATTATGCATTGGGGAACATGGCAATATTTTAGATTTTTTTGCTCAGGAGGTCTCTAAAAGAGTATTGAAAACCGCCTGGAAGCATTTCAGAGAAATATAATAAATTTTCATAATAGAACTATTCATATTCTTTTTATTAATAGGAAAGATTCACGAGGGAAACACACCCTCCAGAGATGAATTCCATAATCAGATTTTTAAGATATATTTCCTCAACCTACCAGTATGTGTTATAAGTAGATACATGCAAGTGTAGACAGACCGTATATACTTATATGTGCATGTGCCATAATACATCATGTGTTGTCTGCACTGCAGCAGGAACAACGAAGGGAAGGGCAAGAAAACACACGAATATGCCGAAGGCCTTTTCGCTGTTGTATGCCCTGAGGAAGCAATAGCGAAAAGGCCTTCGGCATATTCGTGTGTTTTCTTAGACTTCCCTTTGTTGTTCCTATTGCAATCTGTTCATCATGAATTCCACACAAGTCGTCTGCACAGCACTGAGTGGTACCCAAAATATAAAGACCACGTGTATACACCGTATATTGCAGGATATTACATTGAAATTCTAACAGATAACATTATCAAATAATTATATTAGTAATGCAATAATCATGGTCAAGTTGCAAGGGCGGATAATTATAAACTGTATCGGTTTCCAGCGAACTTTAGTAAGTAGTAGAATAAGTGGACCATCCTGGCCTTTTAGAAGAGCAGATAGAGTTAACCTTAACTATGAGTTCCAATAATTTCATATTTACTGATTATACACAAATAGAACAATTTACCTGATTTGCAAGTAATTTAGCTTTCATGGATCATTATAATTATGTTTCTCATACTGTTGGTGGTTAGATATTAGCAAGAATAAATAAGCACAGTAGAGGGCAATGCCGTTATTTGGAAGATGAATTAAGGATTTGATTAGGGATATGATGTTATTGCGCAGTGAATGAGCATAACTGTACAGGAATAAATCAGTATATAAAACATTCTCAATTTCTTGCGTCATATTTGTTTTACCTTGTTATAGGCCTACAGCTGTATATTTATATGACACCAGCATAAATATAGATCCATATATACTCCCATACATTAATACAATAATAATGTTATCTGTAAGAATTTCAATGTAATATCCTGCAATATACGGTGTATACGCGTGGTGTTTATATTTTGGGTACCACTCGGTGCAATGCAGAGGACACATGATGTATTATGGCGCATGCACAGATAAGTGTATACAGTCTGTCTACACTCGCATGTAAAGTAGATGGTTAAAGTTACCGAGAGCCTAGGTTGAAAAACAGGCAAATAGGTACTGTGACGCTGACTTCAATAGTTTTGAGTTGCAGCTATTTTCACTTCTGTTCGCACTCAATTTTCTTTCTTGCAGATACTTGCATTGCAACATAACTAACTCAACAAAACAAAAGTCCATCCAGTAATTCTTTACAATATTGATGCACTCGCCTAAGATTAAGTCCCCAACTCCACGTGCTCTGATTTTATTGTCCGTGATGGGTCACATGCGGGCAGGTTCCTGGACTCGCCTGCACACCAATTTTGAAGCTGCCTGGAAAATGTTATTTTTGGCTTGAAAATTTACCGTCACTAATGTGTTTAAAACAACATAAATAACAATCACTTGAGTGTTAAGGGGGTCATCTTCCAATTTTTTTGGCCAATGTATTCCATCTTACCGATTTTGTGTTATATGTATTTCCAAAAAGTTTCAGGGCCTCTGAATCTCCTCAAGGTGATAGCAGCCACTTTCGATGTCCACCAATATATGCTTTTCCAACTTACCTTAGAAAATTGGCAATTGAGACGTAAAGGTTAGATATAATCGAAAAATGAGATTATTTTCAGAAAGCTTATAGAATTTCAGAGAATATGAAACCAACCATCATTATTTCAGAATAATCTGAAAATTTGGGAAGTATTCTAATGATGAAGAAATTTTGTATACAAATCAATAAGTATATGCTGCCCATATAGAGTTTTTTTTTTTTTGGGGGGGGGGTAATATTTCATCACTTTTATCCTTTAGCTAAATATTTTCAACATTAAAACCCCCGCCCCCCCAAAATAGGGGTAGGTTTGTCAAATGAACTGGATCATGTCCAAAATTTAATGGTATGTTAGTTAAGCTAAGACACACCTCAGGTAAAAATATTGAAATCAGTTTGTAACTTTTTTTTGGGGGGGAAGGGGGGGAAACTGGATCTAGAGCATGACCAAGATCACCAAAATGTAATGGCATCAAAGTTAGGCCAAGACACACCTCTGGTAAAAATCTCATTAAAATCTGTTCTTAACTCTATGAGTTACCATTGTAACAAATAAATAAACAACCAAATAGAACAAACAAGCAAAGGGATAACAATATATATAAATATTCTGTCTTGTAAGATGAAAGATTATTCTATTCAGAAATAATATCAGAATGCCTGTATATATATATATATATATATATATATATATATATATATATAATATATATATATATATATACACTTTTTTTTTTTTTTAGGGAAATTTTCTAAAATGGTCAATCTACCTTCAAAATAGGTCCAAATCAGTGGGACCCAGCCACCATATTAAAATGTTTAAACAACTTGATTACACTAGGAATTTCAGCAAGACTTCAGAATGCACGTAGATGATAGGGGATTATGTTGTAAGATTATAATTGTACCTATTATTGTTCATACAAAAAAAAAAATAATAATATAAATAAAGAAAAAAACTTCAATGACCGTTATTTCGAAAATATACTTATTTTTTTTATTTATTATTTTTTTTTATAGAGTTTTTGCCATTTGGTCTTTTTTATTGTAACTCAAAATGTGTTTGGGCGATTAAAGAAAATTGACACCTGAGACCTCACTAGGGTCTAAATAAAAGTGTGTAATTTTCATCAAAAAAGAAAAAACAAACAAAAAAACAGACAATTATGTTTCTCACAGGGACGTTGTTTGGAATTTCCTGAGTCAAAAGTAAATTCATATTTCTTTCTTCACATGTAGTTTGTTCACATGTTTATGTTCCTTCTCATTCATCCAGTGATTATCACAAATTATTTACAGTCCCATTGGAGCCCATGATCTTCCAGGCTGGTCTCACACATGATACATTCCAACCACTTAGACAAATCTCCCTCCAAGTGCTTTGTATGCTCATATTCAGGAACAATAATTTATGATGAAATGTTCCTTTCACCTCAGCCGTCATCCAATTTTTCCATGACACAGTCTTGTTACTGGACATGCAGCCAAATTTTTTCATAATGAGACATCCCATCATCCGGATCCAAATGGTTAATGTAGATTTTTTTTGTGCAAATTGTGAAATAGAGTAAAGAGAAACTGTGGTTTGCTACATTGTGCCATATATATGTCTAGTCATCCTCAAGGGGTAAAAAAGATATAGTAAGCAGATATTTCCTGTAACTTACCAGTCTATGGTATTCCATTATATTTGATATGTTTGCTAGTTTTCCAGATGGCAACAGCATCCAAGGCAGCCAACAGCCAAGGAATTCATCCAGAAGAGAGATTTGCATCTTTGAACCCTATGAATGAAGCCTTGCAGCTATCACCTGTGGTAGGAAATCAGATCTAGTAATATATTATGGTTACTAGATAATAATCAGAGAGTAATGGTCATATATTCTGATATAGATAGATGTAATTTGAAATAAAGGAAAGTATGTAGATGTCAGTTCACAAAGGTGTGTGTATGTTTATTGGGTGTTTAATTTATTTATCTGATTATCTTTTTTCTCCTTTTAACACTACAGGTTGAAGGTCGTGTGGAACCATATGAGCTCGTTGAATTATTCTATGGTAGCAGTACTGTCTCTCCAGCCAATCACACATCCCACCTTTCACCTAGATCTGCAGGAACATCATCTCCTGAAGTCATGCAGGTGATCAAGATGTCCAAATAGAATACATATGTGCTTACACATTCTTATATCACTCACACGTAAAATAACATTGTGTTACAAACAAGGAAAGACATTGCCCTCTTTACCACCAAGTCCTCTTGTTCTCCTTCCTTTGTTCAGAAATTATAGCATGCACCTTCCTAGTTTTTGTTCTCACTATTTCTGCATAGTTGCCCAGTTGTCCAGAACTCTTTTACCACTACCTTGTACCTGTCTCACTTTCTCACAGGATTTGACAGCTTTCGCTCTATTCCTCTTCCTCACCTCCTAAGTTATTCTGCAGACCACCATTTGGTATTACCTACACTCTCCTCTGCCTCCTCCTTAATTGATTCATGCTTCTTAACATTGTATCATGTCATGGTGAAAATTTCAGAAATGTCAGATAATGTTCAATCACAGCAGAACAGCATGGGAGCTTGACTGTGACCTAGTCAGTCGCCCAAGCACCGAGTAGCACAAACATATGCACTCCAGCCTTGCAAACACACAGGCACACACACACACACACACACACACACACACACACACACACACACACACAACAACACACACACACACACACCACACACACACACACAACCACACAACACACACACACACACACACACACACACACCACACACACACACACACACACACACACAGCACACACACACACACACACACACACACACACACACACACACAGACACACACCACACACACACACACACACACACACACACACACACACACACACACTTAACACACACACACACTTAAAACACACACACACTTACAAACACACACACACTTAAACACACACACACACAACAAACACACACACACACACACACAACACACACACACACACACACACCACACAACACACACACACACACCACCACAACACACACACACACACACTTCACACACACACACACACACACACACACAACACACACACACACACACACACACACACACGACACACACACACACACACACCACACACACTTCACACACACACACACACACACTTCACACAGCACACACACACACACTTCACACACACACACACACACACCACACACACACTTCACACACACACACACACACACACACACACACACACACACACACACACACCACACTTCACACACACACACACACACTTCACACACACACACCACACACACCTCACACACACACACACACACTTCACACACACACACACACACACTTCACACACACACACAACAACACTCACACACACACACACACAACACACTTCACACACACACCACACACACACTTCACACACACACACACACACACACTTCACACACACACACACACACCTTCACACACACACACACACACACACTTCACACACCCACCACACCACACACACACACACACACACACACACCACACACTTCACACACACACACACACTTCACACACACACACACACACTTCACACACACACACACACACACACACACACTTCACACACACACTTCAACACAACCACACATCCACCAACACACAACACACACACACACACCACACACAAGCACACACACACCACACATCACACACACACACATCCACCACACACACACACACACACACCCACACACACACACACACACACACACACACACACACACACACACACACACACACACACACTTCACACACACACACACACACACACACCACACTTCACACACACACACACACACACACACACACACACAACACACACACACACCACACACACACACACACACACCACACACACACAATACTTCACACACACTCACACACACTTCACACACACTCACACACACTTCACACACACACACACTTCACACACAACATTCACACACACATTCACACACATACACACACTCACACACACACACACGATACACACACAAACACGACACACACAACACACACACACACAACACACACACACACACACACACACACACACACACACACACACACACACACCACATTACACACACACACACACACACACACACACACACACCACACACAGCACACACACACACACACACACACACACACACACACACTCCACACACACACACACTTCACACACACACACACACACTTCACACACACACACAACACACTTCACACACACACACACACACACTTCACACACACACAAACACACACTTCACACACACACACACACCACACACACACGACACACACACACACACACACACACAACACACACACACCACACACACTTCACAAACACACACACACACCACTTCACAAAAGACACACACAACACACACACACACACACACACACAACCACACACACCACACACATCACACACACACTTCACAAACAAACACACACACACACACACACACACACACACACCACACACAACACCACAACACCACACACACACACACACACACACACTTCACACACACACTCAACCACACTTCACACACAACATTCGACACACACACACACACACACACGACCACACACACACACACACACACACACACACACACACATCACACACACACACACATTCACACACACTTCACACACACTTCACACACACACACACTTCACACACCA